GGCAGCCTACAAATTCATCGGGGTGGGGGGGAGGGTAGGAAGGGGGCAGCAAGGAATAGAAAATGCTGTCGTAACAGGGGGCCTTCCTGGGGCCAGCTGCCATTGGCTTGCCCACCTGTTTCTGGGCCAACTGCCTAACTAGAAAAGATACACGTCCCTAAGACAGCAGTTTTGTTTAAAAGTTTGTCATCACTGCAAGCACTCAGAGGGGAGGTAATGGGGTAGTAGCATGACAAATTCCAAAGAAAGCTGAACAAACCAGGAGAAGTTAAATTACTAGGTTGTTTTAAGCTATTGCCAAGTTCTGGTACCACTTGACAGGTCTAAGTTTTCTTATGACTTGTTCTACCTCTAGTACACAGAGCTGCAGCTGGCTCTTTACCAGCTGATCCCACCTCAGTGAATTGACACTTCAGATATAGTCAAGTGTTTTGAAGCCTAACATAAAGATTTATAGTTAGAAATAAAAGGTGCAAGTCCATGTCAGATTTTGGGCCTAATTCTCACCTATACCTCAATGCAATAGCTCCTGATTTATCCCAGTGTGAAATTAGGATTAGGCTATGGTTGGCAAATGGGTAAAGCTTTCATGGAAGTCCTGCTTTGATTGAGAGCTGGAATAAGGGGTCCATTCCAGCCCCACTTTCCTATGATCCTATATTTGGTATGCTCTGCAGCATAAATATTCTTTAAAATGACCATTCAGGGACACAAAATGATTACAATACGGGTCAGTGGCATTTGTCTCTGCAAGACAAAACTTTATAAAGCTAAGCAATCTGACCAGGTATTAGCAAAACAATACTATAAGAATTCTCCTTGAGGTCATGCTCAAGGCATGGATAGATGCAGTATATATAGTAACAATAACTGTAATATAAGGTTTATTAATGGTGGATCATGGCCCTCGTAAGTAAAACTGCATCACCCAACTGCTACTAAAATGTGTTTCTGTCACCCACATTTTCAAAGACACCTTTAAACAGCAGTTTTTCAGAGCAAAGCTGTCTTAAAGCTAATTAGCTTACAAAGGGAAGTACATTAAAATTTCCCCCTCAGAGAAGGAAATATTAGATTCTGGACAGATATAACGCTTAAAGTACTCCAAATGCCTTTGAAGCATTTCAAACTGTGATTGTACAGATGTGTGTTTTCTAACTTGGGCACCTAAGCTTGATTCTCAGATACTGAATGGAGACATCAAAATGGCATGTACTGTACATGTGTAAAATGGGTCATTAGATTCACTCTAAATGCCAGTTTGAGTGTCCCACTGAAGTATTTGGGTTTTCAGTAAAAGCTTTTCAGTGTGAACACTGAATGTTGAAGGAATGGCTAAAGGAAAAAAAACAAACCCTGCCTAACTATGGGAAGGATCCCAAAAATATGCATGAGAAAAAGAGAACATAAACTGAGAAAAGTGACTCTTAGAAACAGATTCTATCCTTCACTTATTCTAATCTAAACCATGCTGTGAACAATCTGGACAAGTTATCCAATTCAGGTTTTGTCTTTTTGCAAATAACCAACAACTGAAACTCATATCAGCTCCTTTTTCCCTTGGAATTACTATTGCCAAAGACTAACCTAACAACTCACATAATTACACGTTCTGCCAGCCAAGTTATTTCCAGCTGTTTGTGAATGAACCAATCTATCTAACACTTCTGCTTATCCTTTTGAAATTGCATAGCAATATATAAATATGCTTGCATAATGCTTGTAACAAAGTATTGTTTAATTGTTTTCTACAATTTACAGCACTATTTTTCTTTCCATTACATAAAAGTACTGTTTCATACAGTACATTCAATTGCCCCCATAGGCCAACAGCATCTCTCCAGTCAGGCTGTTTCTATGGACACCAGTCTGGGCTTTACTTTCTCACTCTCATTCGTTGCCAGGAAAATTGAACTCCTATCCCAATTCCCAGTGAGAATCACATAATGGAGGTCAGGAAGACACACAGCCACAAATAAATACTTCACCTTGAGAATGATCACTAAAATAAGGCAGAGGCAAAATAAAATGACGATGAATAGAAAATGATTTGCCATTCTGCAAGTAAAGAAACATAGTATTAAAGAATTTGGGCTCAAAGTTGCTACCATTTATTCCTGGGATTTTCCTATGTTGAGCAGCTGCCCACAGTAGCTTTTTGCCTCATACCAAGTGTCATGGAGATCTGAAGAAAATCTAATGCAAGCTTAAATATGAAAAAGGGAATTTTACAATACAGCAAAAATATCAATTACCAATTCTTTCATGTTAACAGAATTAACAAATCACTTGGCACTGTGTCAAAACGTCGTCCTCACATTCAACGAACCAAGGTTGAAAGGAAAGAACTGAAATATTTAATCTATTTGAGAGTCATTAGGGGTACAATGGCCATTCAAATGCTTTGTTTTGGGAGTTCAGTGAAAAGACATTATCTGGAGACATTTCCCCAGTAGAGTTTTTTCTTCCCAGCAGAATTAAAAAAAAACTTTTTCCTCCCTCTCTGTCCCTCCCTCCCTCCCTCCCAGCTAGGGTTTAGTTACAAAACTACCTTTGGTTTCAAATTGTTGAGAAAAGGATTAGGCTTTTTCAGTTGGGTACACAGGAGCTGATTTTAGCTGATTAAATCTTCTAAGGGTCTCCCTATGTTGTCTATTTCCCTATTCCCGTAAAAATCTGGATTAAACATACTGGATATAAAACAATGCATTTTGGGTGCAATATATTTTGTGAATTTTATTGTCATATCTGAATTTTGATTGCTTTTTTTCTGGGGGTGGGGCAGCTTCTTCCCAGAATGATCTGAATATTAGAACTGTATAATCTGCATCCCTATGACAATAGTAAATGTTTATTTGGTTAATTTGAACACTTTCTAGACACATGTAGTCCAGTAGGTAATTCCTTCAAAATTATTCAACAATTATTCTCCCGATTTGACTGGGCCAATTCAGAATTGGAGATTTGGCCGCCGAAACGGCTACTGAAGCTTCGGACAGCACTAACAGATAGGGATACGTTCCCAGGCGGTGAGGGAGGGAGGGAGGGAGAGAATGAGGCTGGAACTAGGGAAGGACTGGGGGGAGGGATGCCATTCCCCGGGCTGCACCATGCTCTGCCTGTCCCCCTGCGCCTGGGCTCCACCCATCCCCAACTTCCTGTGGCATGCTGTGGTGCAGGCAGCTGGTGTTGGCTGCTCCCAAGGCCGCTACAGCAGGGGCTGGGGGGAGTGGCAGCAAGTGGAGCCCCGGGCAGCACAGGGCACGGCACAGCTTGTCTGCACTCACCCTAGCCCCCCCTGCAGTGGCTCTGGGAGTGACCAGTGCCAGCTGCAATAGGAACTGTTGGGGGGGGCGAGGGGGCAGGGGCTTCTGTGTTGTGCTAAGACAGCTTACAGAATCAGTTTGCAGCATGTCACCTATGGCTAGGACACAATATCCACAGCATTACACTCTTCTCTAGAAAATCTCAGATATAACAAGCATACTATACATGTGGTTATACCAGTTAAGGGTAGTGAAGCATTTCCTTGGGGAGCAGGTTTCATAAGAACCTACCAAAGCCAGATAATTAAATCTGGTAGAAAAGATTTCTTAAAGACAGCTTACTGTAATGCAAGGCGTGAGAACAAACAGAACCTGGAATCTCAATTAGGTTCTAAACTTAGTACACAAACACGCTCTTGAGACAAGTCCCTCCCCAGCTTCACTGAGGAGCCGCTTCTACTGTGAAACAGCTGGACATGCAGCCTTCTGCAGCGCTCCAGGGCCTGCCCTGCAGTGAAAAAGTTCCACAAAAGCAAAGCAACTGAAGATGTGTGAAGGACTGGTAGGAAGGAGGTGCACCGTTGGATAAGCAGACATATTTTCATGGGTTTCATTTTAATTTCTCCTGATGGATAGCTGTTTTAAAACTGAAATATGGGTCACCAAAGACCCGGGAGCTAAGCTGTTACATATTCTTACGAACACATTCATTTTTTCCTTAAACAGCTTGTGCTTTTATAGGACCATAATAAAAGAAATTACAAAATTAAAATAAAACCATCCCATGGTCAAGCAAGCCGAGCGCAAAGGCAAACACGTTGCTGTATATGCAAAAGTGTGGCACGCATTTCTATAGTTACTATATCTGTGTGCTAAGCAGTATCAAAGAGAACTCAACAAGAATAGCCGTGAATCAGACAATGAGTAGAAAAGTAGCTGTGTAACAAAATTATCCACAAAACAGACTTCTCATGACAATTTCCATGCCATTTAAAAGGACATTTGCTGAAACATTTCATAGGGTTTCTGTATTCCCATTGATGTTTAAGCAAGAACAAAACAGTCCATAGGGGGAAACTGATTACAAACAAGAGGCTGTCAAATGCATAAACAAACATTTTCTTCTAACTTTTCAGTTAAAACTTTTAACCCATACATCTTGCACTGTTGTGCCAGCTGAAGAAGTCCTCCTCTTTCTGCTGACAGCATTAAAAATGGAAGCTGTTTCATGCTTAGTGACTGCACAAAGAAAAGATTGTGGATACAGTGTATACTGCTGGGCAAATTATGCATATGCATAGAGCCTAGGACAAGTGGGGTAGGGCCCTCAGACATTACTCATTACAAATAAAGCAAACACAGAAAAGAGCAAGATGTACTCACCGTTTGGTTATCTTCATACAGCTTCAAGTCATACCCACTCAGCTCCACGCAGAAAATTATTGCTGTAACCCCCTCAAAACAGTGGATCCATTTTTTGCGCTCAGACCTCTGCCCACCCACATCCACCATTTTGAAAGTCAGCTCTTTGAAGGTAAATTTATTTTCCACAATCCCTGTGGTCATGTCCCGAGAACGCAGAATATCTTCCACTGTGGGAATATAGTCCAGGGCTGCAATCCTTTCTAGGTCATTCAAGTAGTATGCAGCATTATCCTCTAGGTGGTACTCATTGGAGCGACAGAAACACTCCTGTACACCAGGGTCTGCCCAGAGCCGTTTCATGACCCCTAGAAGCTCAGGAGTAATTTCCCCTTTGCTTTCGGCTGGGCCTGTCAGGGCAAAAAGCTGCACAGCATCATAGGCTCTGTCTGGATTGTGGAACTCTATCTTAAGGGTGGCTAGAGCACGAATGATACGCGTTAGAGAGTCAATTGCATTATAGATAATCAGAGGTTTATATTCCTTGCAAGCCTCCAAGTTAAAGCCGCCACTGTGAATGATTTTCATTTGCTTGACAATAGTACTTTTGCCAGAGTTGCTAGTACCCAGGAGTAAGAGCTTGATCTCTCGTCGCTGTCGTTGGCTTTCAGAGCGCAGGTGGCGGTCAATCCTCCGGGACCGCCTCGCTGCCTCTTTCTCCTCAGAGCTTTGCCTACATCCCATGGTACAGCCGACTATTGCAGAAGAGGAGGACTAGAGAGTCTCTCTCTTTCCTTCTCTGTCTCTGAACAAGAACTGCAGTATCTTTCAATTCTCGTGCCAGGTGCACCCTGTAGAAAAAAAAACCCCACTATCCAATACGTGATGGCCCAAGAGGCCTATACCAACTAGTTCAGTCCCAGAAGGGGTGCAAAAACAGGTACAAATGCAACCACAGAGATAGTCTCCTTAGTAGATCTCATGGCACTCCCCTTTCCTGTGGCACATTCCTATTAATGAAAGGACACTTCCCTTTTCCACAGTGTGGCCGGATCAGTTAAATAGCCTTTTCTCTTCTGCATAATTATTTTGATCCTTTCTGTCCAAAGGTAAGGAGCTGCAGTTTCATCTGTTCCGCTTTAGCCCCGCTTGTCTTTTAATTGTATTTTCCGGTTGCTGTGGTGATGTTGCTAGATAGAGCTGAAGCTCTGGTACAGTCTGGTGCTGTGTTTGTTTTGTTTCTCCCCCACTTCTTTCGGTTGATTCAGTTCAGATCTGTGAATCTGTACTCTCCACCTGTCAAGCAGAGACAGAAGAAATTAATGAA